GTCTGTCTGTCTGTCTATCTATCTATATATATATATGTATATATAGGTTTTTAATTTTCATTTGGCTCACTTGATTCTGTATAAGAAGTCGGATAGAGCCGGATAGTGTTCTCAGCCTAGTGTTAACGTGAAACTCTTACAAGAACGAAACTCAGCTCTGACGATGTCCATCATTTGATGCACGCACTCTCGGCACGTTTTCACCCGAAACGAGGAGTGAATTCTCGTGGACTGCGTCAACAAGAATATCGTATAAAAGCCAAACGGATGCAGTACAACGGGATTCATTCGTCCTCATCTGGTGAGATCGACCAACGAATCTCTTCTTCAGGCACTTTCATACGAAATGAAAGTCCCCATAACATTGCTATCTTAAGCGATTAATCAAAACCCAGTTTATTTTCGTATCTAAAAACTATAAAGTGTATCGTTTCCCATTTTAAATAAATGTTTAACCAGGCTGGCACTGCTTGGACGTCGATTCCCTTGAACGTATCTAGCGGAAAAGAGAGGACTTTTGTTTTTACTTACACATTATATTTGCTTGAGGCGAAATCTATGGCTTGGTCTTGTAGTCTTGGCTAGAAATGGACCAGACACTTTGACGAGAGGTACCAGTACAGGGTGCCTAAGTGACAAATACATCTAAACGAGAACGAGTCAAATGGATGGCAGTGATAAGGCCCCCCAAAATGCTTCGCCCCAGAAGCCAACCCGAGAGCAGTGGTAGATATTCAAGACTGCTGCATCTGACGCATTGATATTTCTATGCTTCTTCTTCTGGCCGCTTAGACTAGAGATTCCACGATGGGGTGTACAACAGGTCGTAATGTCTACGTGAAATCCGATCTAAGGGCCTAAAATGCTCCGCCCAAAGGTTATCCCAAAAGTGTTAGGCTCTTGGAGAAACAATCGAAACTGAAGTATTAGAAACGTTGTTACTTCCATGCTGGTTCATCGAACCCCTTTTAAGAGACGTACCATGACAGGGTATTCAAGGCGTAAGGCTGTCTCAACAAAACGATGTAAATGGATCACTGTCATTAATGCCCCTTAAAATACTTCACGTTAGTTGCTAGTCGAGGAGAGGTGGTCGCTTAGACAGATGGTCGCTATTCTTTCATTAAACGGGGTGGGTGTTCTTTTATCGTTGCTAGGGCCTCTAAAACAATAGGTACCACGATAGGGTGTCTGGCCGACATGGGCGTATAAAAGAAAACGGTTAAAATGGCCGGAACGGTTAAGATGGCCTAAATATCCCGCTGTACATTCGTACCAGTGATGAATGATCTCTAAGACGATGGTCTTAAGACTGATCTATCAGATGGGTTGATAGTTCTGTGCTTATTCGTAGAACCGTTGCGATGAGATGTACAATGACACGGTATTTCAGATGTAGAGCGGTCTAAATGAAGACGAGTCGAAGGGAAAGTATTGATAAGGGCCCCACATTGTCCATCTTAGTTGCTAGCCAGAGAGATGTCTTCTTCAAAAGAGGTAGTCGAGACGGCCCCATCTAAAGTGTGTATAGAAGTTGTTTGACCTTGTTTTCGCAACTTGGTCCTATTGGTAGGA